GTCTCAATCAGTTTTGAAGTTTATTTTGCCAACGTCAAGGACATGCCCATCATGGGCATGGTTGAGGCATGTCCAACCCCCACTTCCCATCATGGCCTGAAGCAGTCATTCAGGTTAAATGTTAGGGTGCCCTGGCCAAGGAAGAAGTCCATTCAGATGGTTGCAGGGGGCTTTCAAATTTTATTTTTGGTTTACAGTAAGTCATTCGCATAAGTTCAATAAGAATCTGTTCTCTTTGTAACAAATTATAATTGGAAACACTGGTTATAAATTCAAGGATTTTGACTGGAAAGTCATATTTGAAAATGTCCATAGAACTGGATATGGCCAGTTTTAAAGAACTAAGGTTTACTTTATGAAGTCATGAAAGCCCCTAGGAAAAAACTGGTATTTAGTATGTTAAATTTGAGGCTTTACAGGTTTCCTGGCCTTAAGGGTTGAATAAGGCAGGCCCAGTAACTTTAAAAAATATTTTGAGGACTTTGAGAACAGGAATTCATCCAAATCTATAGGTGTTACAGGCAAAATCTACTTGTCAGTCTTTGGCATGGCTTCATAGCCTAGAGAGGCTTTTAAAAGTCTAATCTGAGACACCTTTAAAAATTCCAGCAAAGCAAATTTTAAAAGAGCCTATATGATCCATCACTACTCTTGCTGCACATATGTAATAATCAAGCCAAGATTAATGAGACTAGACCTATTTTGCAAACAAATTAGTCTTATTGTGATTATCTTTCATAGAAATAGGAGTGGCTGCAGAGAGAAAAATTATATTTCAGTAGAGAACTATAGGGCACCCTTGTGCATATCAGATTATAGTCCTGTTCATTGACCTTGATATCGTATCTATAAACTGCTCTGTTCCTGCAGCCCTACAGGCTGGTACTGGGCAACACTCATCCCTGCTGATGAATAGGCCACTCAGGGAGTTCACCAAAATGCCCAATGCCATAACCAGAAAGATTCAAACTGCAAACCTGGAAAATATGCTTTGAGCTCAAATCTAGAAACCTTGACCAACTGCCCTCTGGACACACAGAGAGAGTTTATGGTTTATTCTAGCCATCAACCTTTGTTTTTCTTTCTTTTCTTTTTATTGAGACGGAGTTTTGCTCGTTACTCAGGCTGGAGTGCAATGGCGCTAACTCAGCTCACCGCAACCTCCGCCTCCTGAGTTCAGGCCATTCTCTTGCCTCAGCCTCCTGAGTAGCTGGGATTACAGGCACGCGCCACCGTGCCCAGCTAATTTTTTTGTATTTTTAGTAGAGACGGGGTTTCACCATGTTGACCAGGATGGGCTCGATCTCTTGACCTCGTGATCCGCCCGCCCCGGCCTCCCAAAATGCTGGGATTACAGGAGTGAGCCACCGCGCCCGGCCTTTGTTTTTCTTTTATTTTACTTGGTTCTGTTCATAGGCCTTGTCTAAAAAGCATATGCCAGTCCTTCAGTAACAGTAATCCCTCCTCCCTCATTACAGCAGTGTCACTTTCTGCAGTTTTAGTTACCCACTGTCAACCATGGACCAAAAATTGATGAGTACAGTAAAATATGGTATTTTGAGAGAGACCACATTCACATAACTTTTATTAGTATACACTGCTACAATTCTTCTATCATTGGTTATTATGTTTAATCTCTTAACTGTGCCTAATTTATAAATTAAACTTTATCATAGGTATGTATTACAGGAAAAACATACTATATAGGGTTTGGTAGTAAAACAGTTTCAGGCATCCACTGCGGGAGTAAAAGGGGGGTCTTGAAACATATTTCTTGTGGGTAAGAAAGAATTATTATCCTTCTGATTTGACCACTGTCATATCTCTGGTGCACTGTATTCTCTCTAGCGTCTTAAATGAATGTTTGCAGCCACCAGCAATATGCCAAATAGTCTCGCTGAGATTAGGGCAACAAAAATAAGATAAAAAAAGAAAAGGAATATTTTTTCCCTGGGCCTGACATCATGACTTATGTATTTATGTATTCCATACTGAGATAAAGTAAGTCTGCTATAATGGGGACAGAAAGTGGCATCAATGCTGAAATTTTGTTCAAGCACTCAAGATTGAAAGGCTGACAAAAGGAGAGAATTGTTAAAGCAAGTAAGGCAGAAGCCATTAGCCTGATGATTTCTCTGTGAACAGAACTCCTCTGCAAGCAAACCAAAACCCAATTCCGTGTAAATATTAAAAGAAAACTTAAGTATACCCAATCAGAAACCACCAACTAACTTCTAACTAGGGCCTTTCCACTTACGTGTTTTCTTACTTCCACATTCAGCCTATAAAAGCTCACTGCCCATCACTGTTTTGGAGAGGAATTATCTGGACACCTGCTGGTTCTGAGTGTTGCCCAATTCATAAATCACCCATTGATCAAATAAACTGTTTGATTTATTTTGCCTGAAGTTTTTCTTCATCTATCCCACCTTCAGTTGCTCTGTTTTCATGTAGCTTTTATAATATACTTCAACTGAGTACGATTTTCATGTTTAAAACGTGTAATGGTACCTAATGCTTTATCCAATATTAAAAGAGTCTTAATACTACGCTGGAGGGGGTGGGGGGAAAAAAAACCTGGCCTTTTTTAGAGAACTTATTGTAGGCTCTAAATGCTGAATTTTGCTTTATTCTCTGATTTTAAAAAACTCACTTCAAAAAACATGATTCATAAAATCTGCATCTGCCAGAAAGCAGTTTTCTGGACCAAGAGAGTAAGACTAATCCTTAATACCATTTTAAAGAAACACTGATGGCATCTTCAAATCCAAGATTAGGACTAATTTCAAATGTATTTTCCTACATACCATCTCTATTTATTAAGGTCTGTTCAACAAATATTTGAGTAACCAAAAACCAGGTGCGAGGGAATACAAAGATGAGAACTCAGAATCTTACCTAGAGCCGCCGATAGTACAGTGACTCTTATTACTTTGGAGGGCAGAGATCCTTTTGAGCATTTAATAAAATTTATAAACCCTTTAAAAATGCATACATATTCAAAACTGTACATATAATTTTAAGGAGTTACTCTTACCTGGAGTCCATTTATCTCTTCCTTAAAATTGATGGACCACTGTTCAAGAACTCCTGGTCTAGTAGAATTTGAGACTTTTTTTTTAAGGGGGGAAGTGGGAATAATTCCAAAGGAAATCTAAACTACAAATACATGAAATAATACAAAATTGTACAGATAGTACAGTATAGGAACAAAGATCTGATGGTGGGAATCAAATTATCTGTACTCAAATCTGGTTCTGCCACTTACTGACTTTGGATGAGTTTCTTAACTTCCCTAGGCCACAATTTCAAGAATTAAGTGAAATAATCCAAGAAAAACTTAGCACAGTACTGAGAGACAGAGGCACACACATAAGCACAGGCCTGGAATCCCTTGAATTGAATTGATTATTAATGTATCTACAGTTCAAGTCTACACACATCCTCATAGTAAACACTTTCTTAAAACTGTCCTTTTAACCAAAAGAGATAACTAAAACATTATCTCCCTCAAACTCCAATATTGCCTAAAGTAGCTAATGGCTTCTAAAACTCTTTTAAGACCTAGGATGATCTTATATAACAAAAACATCGATTTTAAATTTATCTGCTTTTATTCATTCAGTGTATCCTCCCTTCCCACAGAACTAGCAAAATTAATTAAAAGACTTAGCAAAAATAAATGAAAAGTATGGCAACAACCCTGTGATAAACTGGTAAAGCTAATTGTATAAGAACATATGTAAAAGGCCTTGCAAATTAAAGCACAAGTAACTTATTTATATTCATATTATGTCTGTACTAGCTAGCATATGGTCTTAGCTGAATTTTGACTTGCCATTTTAAGTTATTTTTTTCCAAACTGAACATACTACTATAGCCTATTTAATCTTTCTTTTTAAATGTCAAAACCCATACACCATAGTTACATATTTTTAGTTAACTCCCATGTTTGTACTATAGTTCTTCATCACTACATACTTACTGATGTAATATCAGGGTCTTTTATTATTTTAACCCTTGAAGAATTTATTAACCAAAAGGAATTTAAAAATAAAAACAGGTGTCGGCTTAAGAAAAAAAGCAATCTAAACCAACCTAGCAGAGTATTATACTCCTATTTTTTTAAATACATTTGGATTGATATTCTGCCCCAAACAAAATTCAGGAAAAGACTCTCCTAAATCATCCTAGTTTCTCTCATTTCCTAACCCAAATATTAGAATTTTTTAAAAGGTACTGAATATTTTTATCCTTTTTCCTTCTTGGGTAGGATGGCATTAATATAATTTATAGCTATTTTGTATTAGTTCAGCCTTGTACAGTTTTAAAAATTTAAACAATTTAAGTTTTTAAAATTTAAGTAAAATACAAATTTTCTTTTAAGTAATGCTTGCTCCAAAAGTTATATCATTTAGATGAATAAGTATCTCTTCATAATAAAAAGCAATGGGTAAAATGAAAAAAAAAAAATCTCTGAGGCAAGGAATACCAGCTCCAAAGTTTATGACTTACAATCTTAGGCAAGTTACCCTCTCTGGGACTCTAGTAACCCAATGTAAAACAGGATGTTTTGTAACTATGCCCACTAGCATGGAGGGAGATAGCTCAGATAGATTAATAAATCATATTTTCCCAATCCTAGCATCAAATAAAAAATAGCACTGTTTATAAAATAATATACTGCTACACCAACCTTGATCTGTCTCTACCATCGAGGTACTGGGATAAAATGACAGTTCTTAGAGAGAGAGAAAACTCCAAGGCAAGGCTCCCCAGGTCTTTTATAATGCCTAAATTTCTCACTTACAGCCAAAAATGTTTTACCAGGCGAGGTGTGGTGGCTCATGCCTGTAATTCCAGCACTTTGGGAGGCTGAGGTGAGCAGATAATGAGGTCAGGAGTTTGAGACCACCCTGACCAATGTGGTGAAACCCCATCTCCGCTAAAAATACAAAAATTAGCCAGGCATCGTGACATGCGTCTATAATCCCACCTACCCAGGAGACTGAGGCAGGAGAAGCACTTGAACCCAAGAGGTGGAGGATGCAGTGAGCCTGGACAACAGAGCAAGACTCTATCTGAAAAAAATTAAAAAATAAAAATGTTTTACCAATGAAAGATACCAATAGAATCTGAGTTAATCAAGATCTTGTACAACTGCCTCTGAGATTAAGGTGTTACCAGCTGGTAAGTCAGTCAGTCATTTCAACACTACAACTGATTTTCTGACATTCAGTATGAATGTCTTAAAAATAAATGCTAAAATATTACCAGTAAATAAAATTTATATATCATTTCCTTGTAACATTCTTTAAGTAATGATTCTCTACTCTTAAAGCAAAAGGACCTCTTCATTTATATCAAGATAATCAGATTCCCCATAACAGTACTTTTGATACCCACTTATTAAGAAAATATGACAAAATTCTACTATGCATAGAATATGCTATATTTTAATCACTGCAGTAATGAAACCATTGAAAAATAATAGCACAGTATGAAAGGCAAATTATTTATTAGGTCTTTAGGCAACACTTTATAATGGACACAGTTCCCAAAATGTTCTCAGTCTATGGTTAGAAACTACTACCATAAATTTTAACAGAAAATGTAGAATTGTAGGCAACCCAGCTACTACACATTTAAGGATAAAGAATAATTTAGAGAGGCAGGGCTAAACTCTGATTCCATAGTCACTCAATCCTCACCAAAAATAATCACATTACCAAATTTTATCATAAAATCATACAATCTTTATGAACAGAGCTCTACAATATTATATTATGAATTCATTCAATCAAATGGCTTACCCTAAAATTTAGTTTAAAGTAGGTGACTGCCAGGCTTGGTGGTGCATCCCTGTAGACCCAGCTGCTCAGGAAGCTGAGGGAGGAGGACTATTTGAGCCCAAGGCCCGAGTTATTACTTGAGGCCAGCCTGGGCAACATAGCATAAGATGTCTCTTTCAAAAAAAAAAAAAGTATCTGAATTGAGGCAATAAGAGGAGTTGGAACTTAGTAAAGAGAGAAAGGAGAAGAGGATAAGTGAAAGAGGAAAATGGTATGTACAATGATTAGTGGATGAGCTTTCAAGTCATGTTGCTAAGGTTTTTACCCAACAACATAACTCCTCTCCCTGCCCTATAAACTTGAGCAAAGTGATTAATCTAATCCTCAGATTCCTCATTAATGATGGAAAACTAGCCCCTACCTCATAAAACTCTTAAGACTAAATAAGATGAATGAGATAAAATGTTTACTTGCCAAGCACTCAACAAGTAAACCTATTTCGTACAGAAAATTTTGACATTATTGAGCACTTAAAGTTATTAAACCCTTTAAAGTTATTGAGCCAAGATTACAGTAAAACAACAGAAAGTTTAGGCCAGTATGATTTGGAAAACTGGAATTAAGAGATGAAAATGTATAAGAAGAGGAAATATTCAACACCATAAGTAAACTTCCTTTCTCCTCCAACTCCGGCAGAACACGCTTCAATGCTCTGAGTCCCTAAACTTAAACTAATAGTATATTAGGGCTAAAATAGGATGTGGTTTTAAATAGGATTCTGTGGGCTAGCCTGGGAACTTAAAAAAACAGTGTAGTAAAACATGCTCCAAGTTCAAACAACTGTTTTACACCCGATCTGGAAGACAACGTATTCAAAAATTAGGAACTGCCTATTTTTCCTTTTGAAATGAAAAGGCTTGTCTTTGTGAGCAAATATTCTTGAAAATCCAAATGTAATTCAAAGAAATTATTCAAATTAATTGGAAGATGCTGCTAAGTATTAATCCACTATATAACATCCTGTAAAATAATTGAGAAAATATTTCAATTTAAAGAGCATGACAAATAAGAACTTCCCAAATCTTTCTCAGAATGAAGTACTGGAACCCTTGGGAAACTTCTTCATCAAGACAGAAGTTTTACTAGGCATCAGTTTTCACTTTTGCCAATAGGAGCTGAGTTTTCCCTCATCTCTCCATTCTACATGTTTAAAGTAAGAGCCATCTCTCCATTCTACATGTTTAAAGAGTTGTAGAAAGCAGTTTAATGAATGGAAAATGGGGAACGAGTATAAAGGAACATTCCCAATAAAGAATATGAGTAAAGACTTAGAAGATAGCACTTCTACTCTAAGCTAAGAAGTCCTTTGTGCCTAAAAACAAGGAAAAATTATATCATAAGTCACTGGCTGACCCATGGCAGAACTACAGATCACTCACTTACCTGCCCAACCCTTAAGTGGCAATGCTTTAAAACAGCGCAATACAGAAAACAGAACAAGGGTTTTAGGGTCAGATTTAGCTTTAAATCCTGCTCCCCTACATAATACCTGTTTAATGTCTTAGACAAATTAGTATTTCCAAACCTCGCTGTCTATGTCTAAAATGATACAAAACTAACATCGTAGAGTTACTACAAAAATCTACTACATGGCACATTGTAAGTATTCAAAAATTGACAGTCATTAGGTCTCATTAAACCAATAATGTAACTCCATAACTCAGAAAGGTCCAGACTTGTGCTACCCAATAGGGTAGTTAACTAGTCAAATGTGGCTCTGAGCACTTGAAATAGGGCTAGTCTGAATAGAGACACACAATGAGTGCAAAATACATATAGGATTCTGAAGCCTGAATTCAAAAAAGTTCAAAAATACCTCAATAATTTTTATATTGATTATGTGTCAAAATAATATTCTAGGTATACTGGATTAAATAAAATTAATCATTAAAATTAATCTCAACTTTTTAATGTTTTAATGTAGCTACTGCATGACTTATATTTCTACTGGACAGTTCTGGTCTAAGCCATCACTGATAAAAGTTTCAAATGCAAAATGCGATAGAAATTTCATTATGTGCTTCATATGACTTATGTAAGAGACTGAAGATCCTAATGCACTTTAAATATCTTCTAATTTAAGTAGCATTATTTTAATATTCACCTATTGCATATGCATGGAGACACACGTCATCTTCCCACTTTGATAATAACAGTACTCATGGTATCTTACTAACTAGCTATAAAACAGCATGTGAAAAGCCACCCTTCTCTACCAACCGTATGCATTGCTGTTCTTCACATATTAACAGAAGCTTACTCTAAGACCCATCCTCATTCTTAAAAAAATGTTTTTCTGTCTCAAATTCAGTACTGTATTTTGGATTAAAGCAATTTATCCCATCTCTGATTTTCCTACCAGCAAATCTACCTTTCAGTGATCAGCAAGGCTACAATCCAATTTCAAGTGTGTCATCACCTGTTTAATATAGCTGCAAAAAGAAAAACATTATTTTTCAGTCCTGGAGATAAGAAAGGCACTAATTATGTAATGTGAAAAGATAACTCCCTTTTATCTGCTCAGACAGCTTGAGCGAAAGGTTTAAAAATACTGATAAGGACTATAAGTTTAGCCAACTCTATTACTTACTAACATTACTGACAGGACATGTCATAGTGCTGAACATGTGTTGCTTAAATTAAACTACTATAGCTCTTCAGCCCTAACTTATAATATTAAAATTACAGTTATGTATCACTCCAAATTTCTCCAAAGCATTTCTACAGACATTATCACAGGAGTTCTCTCCAAAAATCACTGGAAGTAAAGCTGATTTTACTATACCTTCATTTAACAGATGCAAAAAACAAGGCCCAGAGGTTACGTATACCTTACTTGCCCAAAAAAAGCTTGTAGCTAACAATAAGATAGAGTATAAAAATTTCTACTGCTGTCTGGTAGTTAACACTGTGAACTCTAAAGTTAGATTTTGGGTTCAAATGCTGGCTCCAACACTTAGCTGTGGGACCTTTGACAAATCACTTATAAGCTTATTCCCTTTATCTGTTTTATTCACAGACATAGTATGAGTAGTTACCCTCATGAAAATTAAAATAAAGTGCTCACACACATTGGAAATTCTCAATAAATGTTTGCTCTTATCACCTAAGGCTTTAGAATCTGAAAGAAGGAACATTTAGAGATGACATTTAAAAAAAAAAAACAAAATAATGATTTTGTCAAACGCATGAGTATTTCTAGAACATCTTGAACCATAATCATAAATGTTCGGATTTTAAAACATTTTCATTTTTGGCAAATTCATTCTTCATGTCTCCTTTTTAAAAAATTACTCCTAGAAACCTGCAATAAAACCTACATTTATTAAATTGTATGGTTTTTAAAGGTAGAATTCCCAATTGAGAAAATGGTAACACAGAAAAGGTGAAAGGAATGATCAACACGTATTACTTAAATAATCCAACTATTTCTTTTGTGTATATATACACTGTGGTAAGCTTTACCAGATGGTATAGTCAAATTTACAGAGACTAATTTTTAAAGTATGTTTCCCAAGTCACAATATATAATTCTGAAAACATTGTTGCATGGTAACAAAATCCCAATTCTGAACACTAGCTAGAGCAGAAATATTTAGTAAAAGAAGAGAATGTCAGCCAAAGCTTAGGATAAGGGGGAGACTGCCACTCCTATAGTTCTAAAAAGTATTATATATACTGATCTTCTGGTATTACCTGGTACATAGTATGGGTGCTCAATAAATAATATGAGTGAATGGGTGAGTAAATAAAAAAATGAGTAGCGGAAACTTAATGTTTCTTCAAATGAACTAAATCAAACAAAAAAATCATTTGTGAGCCCATGAGAGATACACTTAAAAACCACGGAAGTCATTACTAAAGCTGACCAAGGTTCCAAGCCATAGTTCAAAGGCTAGAGAAATAGATATTCTAAGATTCCCCCCACCTTCTAATTAATTTCAACAATCTTCTTCATATATGTTTTGAAAATTATAACTTGGTGAATACCTACAGAGCAAAGGCTTCCTTTGTAAGTATAGCATGCTTTCAGGAATTAGCCATAGTCAGCAAATTATGTGTGTGTATATGTATGTGTATATACATACTCAGATATATATGAGCTAACTGAAAAACAAAATTAATTTTCTGCTATTTGCTAAAATACCCATTTGCTACTAAAGGGTTTTTTCTATTCACGTCACATTCAGGACAGGACAGCAATTGTTGGTGCATACTTACTACCCAAT